GGCTCATAAGCGTCGATTTCACTTGTAATATAGATGACACCCCATGGGAAACATGACATTTCTGGAACTCTCCATTTGATCAGAATATTCTATTTAATTTTAACAAAACAGATGCATGAGACACCACACTGTGAGTCATCTCAATCCTACATCCACAGGAACACAGGGGAAAATACTGCATTTTTTGTGAGATATCCCCCCAGTTCCACAGCCGTCAGTCTCTTGGAAGTAATGGGTTTATTGAAGTCTCTCAGTCTCCTGAGGGAGTGGAGTGGTTTCAAGTCTGCCCTAATCGTACTGATACTTTCTGGCTTCGTACTCATCATAAAAAGGTTCAAATGCAGAGGAGAGTCCCTGTGATTTCTATGATGATTTTCTAAAAATATAAGTAATTTGGCGTCATGTCAGAAGTGCTCGAACAGACCAATTTCACAAACCTTTAGCATTTCCAGGTGCGGTTTAGGAAATCGTCTCAAGTTGTCTCTTCACTTTTTGAGTTCCTCGGTGGACTGCATGAGTCACGGAGGCAGGGGCTGAGACTGTCAGGGGAACCACTCGCCACAGCGAGGCTGAGGACAGTTGGGCGAGGAGTGACCCAGGGGACTGCTACAAACAGGCTCCTCAGATCCGCGGCTATCCACCTGGAGAAGGTGGGACTGACTAGGCTGTGCTGTTTGGGCTAGAGCAGGTCGTCTAACTTCAAGTACCCCAGGGGTCCTACATGTATTCTCACTCCTAGCAGAAGCCAAGCCCTCTTGAATCCTTTGGTGGAAGATGAATCTGCCAGTGGTGAGAGTGGCTTCATTTGGCACTCATGAGAAAACGGTGAGGCGGCCAGTTCCCAGGCTGCACTGCAGGGCAGCACGGCCCTCTCCCTGCAGGGCGTTTCAGGCTTCCTGGCCCCGGTCTCAGGGGACAGGACAGCTGGGCAGCCACCCGGGAAGTGCTCTCCCTGGACTTAGGTGCACCTCTCATCACCCCACACTCAGCTGGAGCCCGGTATCCTTGTCCCAGAGGCCACCTTCTTTCCCAGGTGATCATCTGCTTCTGTACCTGAGGACAGGAGATTGTGAGCCCATGTACCAAGACAGTGACAGACACCCGCCCTGATGTCCTCACTTGTCCTCGGAATGTCTCTGCTTTGTGTCTTCATATCAGTTCCCGAATGTTGATCTGTCTCACTTCCAAAAATATTTATTTATTAAAAAAACGAATTCGGTAGACTTAAAAAATATATATGCAAAGCCCTGAGTTCAATCCTAGCACCAAAATTAAAGAAGGAAAAAAAAATGAAGTAGGAAAATGACCCTAGAGGCCCTGTCAGAAACTCCCTCCGACCATCGTAGATTTCCAATCCCAGATAGTTACAGAGAAGGTTTCAACTGCACTGATTTTGCAAGATTCTTTACAGATATAAAGTAATGAAATGTCCCACCATATTTCCTTTTCTTCAGTACTGCCTAAGAATGAAAAATAGGACATACTTATTGGAAGATCCTATCTGGGTTTCTGTTTGTGTTGAAGGATGTTGACATGAAAAGCTGCACCTATCGCCTCGGTTCATAGATAGATACACACAAGATCAGCTGCTCCTCGCCTACTGCCCATGGCTAGCACAGACCCCGTGGCTCACACCAACACAAACACTGCCCTCGAGGGCTGGACAGGTCTTGCAGGACACCAGCCCCTGGCGTAGAAGGGCAGTGGGGCCCCTGTGGCCCTCCCAGGTCTGTCTTGCCACCAGCAGTGGTGTGGAGGCCTGCGGCCTGACTCTCTCTGCATAGGCCCCTCTATGACTGCCTTCCGCTTCCTCCTCTCAGCCTCAAGGATACCTGGATTATACTGGGCCCACCAAAGAGTCAGAATAGCCCTTGCCTGTCTGAACTGCAGGTGAGGCGTGGTGCTCATGGACTGGGCAGCAGGGCCTCAGCATGTGGGCAGCCCGAGGCCCTTGTTACGCCTGCCCAGAGAACTGCTGTTGAGTTCTCCCCCTCTAAGTCTTACTTGAGTCATCCGCATGCTGAGCAAGTTCCCGAATCATCTCCTGGTGCAGACTAATCGACTTCCTTTACATTGGTTTTCAGTGAAAGAACAGTTGACTTCAGAGCAGAATCTTTGAGTTGAAAGTCAGCCAAACCTTACCCCAGTCCTGTGGACAGTGCCCTTCTAAGGAGAGGCCTTGTCTAGAGTGACCCCATCCCCAAGTGGGCACAATTATTTGTTAACTCACAAGTGAAAATCAAGAAATTCATCTCCTTTGGAATAGGACTCATTGGCACAGCTTGGTTCCAACCATGCAAAATGAATTACATAATTGTTACAAGTCCTCATGCTTGATTCCAGAGGAGAGGAATCTGTGAAGAAGTTGTGCCTTTTACTCTGATGATTTAGTCTCATTAGATTGATATGTACCATCTAAATTTCTTTCCACTCTGTAATTTTACAAATGGCCTTTATATACCAAGCCAGGGGTCACAAGCTGTTGCCCCCTGGGCTTAGCCCATAGGCTCAGAATGAGTTATTACATTCTTAACTCGATGTGAAGACATTTTAAAAAGTAATAAATATTTTGTGACACAGAAAATCAATATGAAATCCAGGTGTCAATGTCAACAAGTGCTGTGGGAACACAGTCACACCCATCATGAGGCAGCTCTTGAAGGAGTACAGTAGAGTTGACCAGTTGCAACAGAGACCGAGTGAGGACAGGCCCTAGAATACTTAATTCAGTTATTTATTTATTTTTGGCAGTGCTGGGGATGAACCCAAGACCTTGCACATGGTAGACAAACTCTCTAGTGCTGAGTCACATCCACAGCCCAAAACCTAAAATACCCACTACCTGGCCCCTGTTCAGAGAAAGGTTTGTTGACTCACACAAAACAGACATTCCTGTGTGGGGTGTTTGGAAAGTCAGGTTGGGGAAGAGAGGCTGTGTGTGCCAACCTTGTTAGTTCCACCTAGCTTTTGTGATTAGAACCATCAAGAATAATCTAATTGAGAAAAACATAAACAACAACAGAGTAGAAGTTGATTTCAGTTATAAACAGGTCATATGAAAGTGAAGCTGAGCTGGGAAGGCCGGGGATTCTTGAATCCAGACTGACTTCTCCTGCAGACATTCTTGGTGTTAGTGGAGGGGGCCTGAGACCAATAGAAAGAGCATCATAATCTCAATAGGGAAAGAAGGTGATGCATGTCTTGGCGTCGGCTTTGTCCAGCTGTCGCCCTAGTAGCAGACAAATCCAGAAAATAGGCCAGTCTGAGCACTGTTTCCTCTTGCAGATTCCTTCACACAGTGACATAAACACTGTTGCAATTGGTTACAGTCAAGGTTTGACTTTTAACTTTAAATGGATCGTGCACATTTAGAGATTGGCAGTGGAAATTGAGCACCCTGACATCAGAAAGCTTGGCTACATATGTCATTTGACTGCTTTTCCTCCAGGTAATGGAATAAGTAGGAAATGCTCCCCACAGCTAAAGGGTTTCCAGCAAATCCTGTGCAGAGAAATGAGGCATCCCTTGACCACACAAATGTGTGCTTCCAGTCCAGCGCTTCCAGGGCACGTGGTTCTCCAGGTTTCTACTATAAGCAGATTGGTCCATCCTTTCCGGATCATCTACGCTAATAAGCATCATTTTGAAAACAGATTTGGCAATTGAGATACAGCATAATTATATAGTGCATGTACCATCTAAGTCCAGTAGCATGAAAAGTGTGCTCTGCGTCCAGTCACGTGAGCATCTACGAAACCTCTCCAACTCCTTCATGTAGACGTTCAGGCCTCACCCACGGGTTCAACCATCCATAGATGGAAAATATTTTGAAATCATGCATGTGTACCAAACATGTACACACTTTTATTTCTTGTCAGTATTCCCTAGACAATACTGTATAATAAGTATTTACATGTTAACAAGTACTCACATTTTCTTAGGGATCATAAGTAACCTGGAGATGATTCAAACACAGTGTGTGTAGGTTATGTTCAAATATTGTGCCTTTTCATATAAAGGACTTGAGCATATATGGGTTCTGGTGCCTAGGGGGAGCCCCAATCCTCTGTGGATATCGAGGGGTGACTGATTTTCATGTCCAGTTTGTAGATGGGGAAACTAAGTGTCACAACAAAGTTCTGGAGCCTCTGCCAGCACACGGCAGAGCCAGAACAGGATCATGCTGGGGTATGCTCTCCAGGGGTGCTCCAGCCCGGCCCTGCTGAGGGTGTTTCTTGCTCTTCTGACGCACAGGGCCATGATTCCTGAGAGGCTTCTCTTCCTCTGCAAGCATGGGACATTGTCAACGGGGCGAGGGGAGGGCTCCAGTGTTTCTGACAGCTGACCTGGGCGTTGGGGAGCTGGCTGGATACTCTAAACAGAGAACAGAGATGGATCATATCTCCTTTTTAAAAGATTAATACATTACTTTAGTAAAACATGATTTTATTCCATTTCAGATCTCTTTGACAGTTCTTGTCATCCATCTTCTAAATGACCCTTTCCTTTATGTCAGTGGGAGAGGCCTGGGCTGCAGATTCTGCAGATGGAACGTGGGAAACATGGCCCCCTGTGATAAACAGTGTGTTTCAGCCGACTCCAAATTAATAGAACTGTGGAGTGTCCAGATGGAGAAAGGCAGAGTCTTATCAGTTGCCTATTTCTTTTTCTTTTAATGACTCATTGTGATTAAGGTCCTGAGGAAATGACATGAGATTGAAAATATGTCTTCTCATGTATTCATCATTAACAAGGAAGATTCAAAATGTCAAATGTTTTTGAAAGCTTCCTTTTAATCAAGGGTAAATTTAGCATTTATATTTGGGCAAAGATAAAGCTATCCAAATCATTTTAAGTTTTAAAGGCAACTAATAGATCACCTCTGTTTTAGCCATCGCAAAAAAGAATAACAGAATCCACTTTTGAAGTACGATTTAGGTATAGGACATTTTCTCTGTTTTTTTTTAAAGGGAGACCTTTCTCCTCTCTCTCTTTTGTAGGCTCACGGGCATGAACCTTCCCTCTCCTGTCATCAGTAGCAAGAACTGGCTGCGGCTGCATTTTACATCCGATAGCAATCATCGGCGCAAGGGCTTCAATGCTCAGTTTCAAGGTAAGAATGCTCCAGCTTAAAAGGAAAAAAATATATATATACATACATACATACATACATACATACATACATACATATACATATATACAAACAGAAGGCATGGTTGTCCTTTCTAACCCTAAAAATTTTAGCACCTTGCTAAAGATGCTAAAAGAGATATAAGTAAACTTGAAAGCACTTTGTCACTGTCTTCTGTATTTCAGTGGTGTCCATCATGATTCTTACTGTATTAAGAGCAGTTGAGTTTGGAAATTTTATGGGCAGCAACCAGCAACTCCATAGAAAATCTTTTGTACTATGATAGTATGAATTGTAGTTTCTTATTTTGCTGAAAGTGTTGGTAAATTTTAGTCAATAAGTATGTTTTGGCATTAATTTTAAGTATTTAAGCATAACCAGGAAATATCCAGACTGCCTGGACATTGTGTTCATTCACACACCAAGAGTGGTAGAGCAGACAGGTTGTATGAAAACATGCAGATGCATCATGATCTCACTTCAGCCCTAAGAGGTCTTCATACTGCAAAACCCAGGTACCTGATTGACTCCCTACATACTGTGGATCTCAGATGAGGTTCTGGGATTGTTGAAACTGAGCACAGTTGGACAGTCGTTGGTCCTCAGCAGGCAGTGTGACTGAAAATTCCTCTTGGAATCGGATTCCCAATGTTTAGACCTGGACAGCAGCATATCAATGCCCACGTTTCCAGCAACCTTTAATCCTCATTAATACAGCCAAGAAGATCCAGTCTACTAAGTGGTCCACGGAAAACCATTCCATTTGCATTTGCAAATAAAAATAACATGACTGTCCTCAGCACATAATGCCCCTCCCAGGCAAACCTCTCAAACTCCCCGCTGCCCGCCATTAAATCCTGACCTTGGGCAGGAGTCAAGTGTGATGCCTGGAAACCAGGGTAACCCAACCCGGAAACACAGACTCCCTCACACTGCAGACAGGAGTGAGTCAGAGAGGCAGCTGCAGCGTGGACTTCCCTGAAAGCCAGAGTGTGAGGGAAGCCACGGCGCCTCCTTGTGGAGATCTTAGTAAACTGTCAGCAGTTGGTCTGCGCATCTCCTGTCTGAAATGGTTAAAATATAACATACTTTCATTATTTTCTTTTGTACAAATAGGAGAATAAAAGTGTTTTTAGGGGATGAAATGCAGGTGGGGGAGAGCCATGGAGATCAGCGGTTTTCCCTGGCCACCCATTGCCGGGGCAGGTGAACCAGCAGCGTTGCCTGACTTAGAATCCAGGGCAACTTGCTTCATCAAAATGTGTCTGACCTCAGAAGGACATTGTCCTTCACCTGCTGGTGCCAGGGACTTCCCACCTTTCCCCCTCTGGCTGCAAATGCACTGTCCTGAGGCTGAGGTGCTTTCTCTTGATTTGGGAGGGATGCAGGACACATCTTTCCTTTTGGAATGTTTTTATCTTGAGGCTGCACCTCTTCTGGTAGTTAAGAGAAAATGAGTGAGGGAGGGACACTTTGGCAGTGAGGTGGCACCAATGCAGACTGGGTGGACGAGGAACATCCCCTGCAGTCTGAGGGGAATTCATCTGAGCCTGCTCTGTGCCAGTGCACCTGTGTGAAGGTGACCCCCAGCATGGGGGAGACAGGGTCAGGGTTTAGTATGCTGGTAGTCTGATGGTCCTCTGGCCAGGTGGGTCAGTAGTGCTGGCTCTCCTCTTCAGGAGACCCTGTGAGTTACTCAGCATTGAACCAAAGACAGATGCCTAAGTATCAGTCCTCAGATCGCAACAGTGGCCTTGGCATGGGATCTGTGATAGGAAGAAATATGAAAAGTAGAGAATATCACATTTAAAAATGCTCCCAAACTGGCATATTTAAGAAACATACTGGTTGGCAGAAAATTGCAATAACTTGAATGTACCAGCCATCACATACACTTTTAGAACCAACACATATTTTTACAAATAGGTATATACATAATTAAAGTAGAATATGCATAAAGTATCATCTACAATTGATGTATAATTAAATATATAATGAAAACATACATTTATTTAAGTACCATATAGCCAAAGTATATAATTACAACGTATGCACTTTGATTTTATAAATATGAGGAAAGGGGAGTAGAAAATTTGGGCCCAAGTCTAAAAGAAGTAAAAAGAGTACTCAAGCACGGAGGCAGGGGTGGGGTGGGGTGGTCTAGTCTCCAGGCCCAGCTGGAAAGCCTCAGGTTCTGGCTGGAGTGTGTCCCTGACAGCATGGCCGCATGCACTTGGATCTCAGTTAACAGGACATGGGTCTAGAGCACACCCAGGCAGACTCTGTTCAGAAGGCTGGGGGTCACCCTTCTAAGAAGGAGGCTGACTCCACCGAGCCACCAGGAGGATGGCAGGAAACACTGAAAGGAGGACGTGGGAATGCTGAGAAGCACCATCATAAGTGTATGGTTTAGACGTCCCCAGAAGCTCAGGTAGGAAATAATGCCAGAAGGCTCCGAGGTGAAATGGTTGGGTTAGCAGAGCCTTCAGCTAATCACTGGATTAATCCCCTGCTAGGGATTAACTGAGTAGTAACCGAAGGTGGAGGTGGGTGCGGTGTGGCTGGAGGAGGAGGGTCACTGGGGTGTGCCTTTGGGGTGTATAATTTATCCCTGGCAAATGGAGTCTCCCCCTGTCTGATTCTTGGTGAGATGCTCTGTGCTGCTTTCCTCCACCAACCTTCACCCTGGTGTCCAGCCCCACCTCGAGCCCCGAGGAATGGGCCTGGCTGTCTATACACTGAAATGCCTAAAATCATGAGCCACAAAATAAATATTCCTCTTCTAAATGTTCTTGTCAGGTCTTTTGGTCACAGAGCAAGAAAGTTGACTAAAACAATAAATGTTATGCAGAAAGATATTGCAATTATTTTTCGGGCTCAAGAGGGAAGAACTGTCTTTAATGAAGGGAAGAAACCAGGGACTCTCTGTTGCTGACTCTAGAACAAAGCTGCAGGCAACCCAGAGCAGGAGAAGAGGCAGTGGCTTAGGATGGCAGGGGCTCCTCTCAGAGTCCCCGCCAGTCACACAAAGATCACCTCCCTGCAAACCCTCCTGACCCTTCTAGTGGGAGGCTCAGGTTCCTCATGCCAAGGGTGAATGGTTGGTCGTCGGGTCCTGTTAAATGAGGTCCAAGTGCAGATGGGAAGACAGCAGCTGCACCCAGGTGGGGAACTGTGCCATTCTTCTAGGTCCTCCCTTTGTTCTGTGCCAAGATTGAACACCAGAAAGCCTCAGGCGCTTCCCGTGCCTCCTGGACACGTGGACGGGGACACCTGCTGTTGTTACTACCAGCACAATCGCAAAGAGGAAAGGCAGGGTTGATCAACCTTCTAGACACCAATAGGACATCAATAGCTGTAGCAGTGACAACTCCAGACTAGGAGCTGCCATCCTGTCCCGCAAGTCCTCCTCTGTCAGAGACCCTGAGTCTTGATTGATTGATTGATTGATTGGTTGGTTGCCATAGGGAAGGGGGACATTTAAGGGCCTGCATTTTGTGCTTGCTGCCTTTTCAGTCAGGGTAGCTGCACTTCCTCTTGATATTGGGAAGGTGACACCCATGTCACCTGGAGTCCAGGATGGTCAATTATTCAGGGATATCTGGGAGAATCCTTGGGGGCTCCCACCTGCCAGTGCAGCCTTTGGTGATTTCTCTGGAAGAGATACACTTTTGTTATCTAGGTGCGTGACGCCACCAGGGAATTTTATGGTTTCTACAAATATCACCTTCTTTTTAACTTCATGCTTTTCTTGCTCAGATCATCAGCACCATAAAATGTTCTTCTGTCTCTTTCTTACCCCATAAATTTCATCTCCCAGAACGTTGTTCTCTGGGTCAGTTTCTTTGACTTTCCCTCTTTAGCCATGTCATGGAATCATGCCAGGAACAGGAGTGCAGGGACTGACAGGCTTCCTGCTCTGTGGTTGCCATTCCTAAAAACCGTCATTTCAAAATGGCATGAGAACAAACGAAGCCACCATATATATTTGCAATGTCTGCTGTACCTATAAAAAATACAGTTCTTAGTGAATGACAGAGTTATGTAGGATATATCATTTCTTTAAATCAGCTGAGAATTGAGCCCATTCTTTATATGTTGCCTCCACCATTAATTATAATTAAATAACTGCCTTATTAGCATAATCCATCATCTAGACATTTGTGATGTCCACAAGATGAATTTTTAAAAATTATATTAATCTTGAACCATGAAGGGCTCTCTACTCCTAAATGGGCATCTAAGTGTTGGGCTTCAAAATTACAGATGTTCACCTGGCTATTCATAAAAATTCAGTTTTAACAAAATGAAATTCCCATTGATTTCTGTAATGGATGAATCATTTTGAAGGAAAGTGTTTGTAATAAAGTTCCAATTTAAATTGAGAATACCCTGTCTCATAAATCAAGTGGAAACCTGATAGTGGCTTTAAACCTTGTATTAGCACAAGTCATTAGCTTGCTCTGTAGGTTGTAGTTCTGTAGATGTACTGAGTTTCCTTTTTATTTAAGTGAAAGACTTAATACACAATGAGGACTTTCCTGTTACTTAAAACACATTTGGGTGTCAGCTTCACGTTCCCAGATTTACCCTGTGTTAGATGAAACCTAAGCCTTCCTCTTCTCCAATGCTGGCACTTTCTCAGGGTCTGAGTGTCTGGAGCTCTACCTGAAAGCAAAGAGCCCCAGGCTGAGGCTGAGGCACATGTCCGTCTTCGTCTGGAACAATAACTGGGCAATAGCAGGGACCGTCATCTGGAGCCAGAAGGTGCTCAACTGAAACCTGAAAGAAGGACCCACGTGCTCCGATCCTCCTGAGGCCAGGACTGTTGGCTGCAGAACTAGGAGCAGGCCGGGTTTGCCCTCTGGTGGTGGCATCGCCCACGCCCTTCCACGAAGAGGTATTACATGGACGGTCACCACACAGAATATTGTTCAATCACATAAATTAGCGAAATGTAGACTTATACCTTCTAAGTTATT